GATGCTCAAGTTTTATTGTGCTGTTCCAGTTTTATATGTTCTGAACGTAGAGCCCTTATGCATTTACTCCACAGGTATAGGGGGACAGACTGCTTTAAAGCTTATCCGTCAACATGGGTCTATAGAAAATATACTAGAGAACATAAATAAAGAAAGGTGACCTTTTTCTAAAATTGAATGCAATTTTATCTTGAATATGCTCAAACTTGTTCACATAATTTGATGAATGCACGGTTTTACTTAATTTGTTGGATATGGTCTGGTTATTATGAATCTGAGATGATGTCCTAGCCAATTTGAATCTTGTTGAATGAGAAGCCTTCTATGTATCAGTATTGCATTGAATCCTTTGAGTAGTAGCCAGTGACTGTTTTAGATAATCTTGTGTAGAATTCTTCAATCTCGTCAGATATTGTTTAGCATATGTAGTGCAATCAGTTGGAGAATTTACTACCCTTCATGATTCTGTTTTCTAAATTATACTGTTCCTGTTTAAGGCATTGTTATCTTGTAAAGTAAGTAGATAGTCTTATCTTTCTCTTATATTTATCTCAGTTGAAGTATCTTTCAAATTGCTTTGATAAGAGCGTAGTGACCGGAAAGCTGTAAACTTGAGTTGTGCAACTTCAAAATATTTCTTATTAAACAAAGTCTATCTAGATGAGAAGGAAAGAATAACGGTACAACCCATGGCAGGTCCAAAGCTTTAAGTCGGGAGCTATATAGAAATAAAGTTAATTACAAGTTTTGTCCTTTGATTTTGAGTTGTTTCTGTTTGGTTTTTGAACTTTCAAAAGTGTTTTAGATCCTTGAACTTTCAAGTTTGTTTCTAATAGATTCTTGACAAATCCGACTATTATTTTTTAATTAATTAATCTATTAACTATAAGTTTGAATTATAGTTTAGTGGAACCCTATAAGTTCAATTTTATGTCTAATAAATCTATGAATTTTAAAAAATTTTAAAATTCAAGGATTAAATTTATAATTTATTGTAGAAATAATGCTGACCACATTGATATACAGATATATTGCTATCAGTTGGTAGATTTTGATAATAAATTGACTAAATTATAAAATTTGTCCTAAACTTTCATGATTGTGATTTAAAGTCCCTAGCTTTAAAAAGTTTATAACAAGTCACTAAACTTCCAACTTTCAATTGACAGGTTGCTAAATTTTCAAATTTGTATATAATGTGTCAAATTACAGAAGAGCAACAAAATACCGAATGCTTCTTGTTTCCCTTATTATTATCATTATTATTATTATTATTATTATGTTGTAAACAGGTACCAAATTCCAGAGGACTGGCCATTTCAAGAGGCCCGACAGCTTTTTAAAGAACCACTAGTGTGTACTGACGAAGAGCAACTTGACATTAAGTGGACTACTCCAGATGAAGAAGTAATTTAACTTTTCTGGTTTAAAAGTCATCTCCTGACTGTTTTCTTTCTTCATTTTATATATGTAGCACACACGAACATATTTTGATACTAAAGTTTTAATCCTCCCGCATGCACATGCTTGTTATGATATTAAAGTTGTATTCTCATATCTATTACAGGGTTTAATCTCATTGTTGGTGAATGAGAATGGGTTCAATAGCGATAGAGTAACAAAGGTTTATCATCCTGATAATCTCAAATTTTATATCATACAGTTTTTTTTTTTTTTTTTTTTTTTTTTTTTTTTCCATGAAAGTCATTTAAATTAAATCTTCAAGAAAGTTTACGTCTCATACATCATTTTTTGTTCTTTCTCCAGGCAGTAGAAAAAATTAAAGCAGCCAAGAACAAGTCATCACAGGGCCGGTAAGTGTTAACTATATACTTTCATTTATTTCTTAAAAATAAAATTTCTTCATCTCTTTGGCCGAGCGTGCTGTTCATTCCTCCTTTTCAGGATGGAGTCATTTTTCAAGCCAGTAACCAATCCTTCAGTTTCCACTAAGAGAAAGGTATATTGTTAGCTATCTACTGATATCTGATGTTAGGATTGATGAAATTTAACTTCCATTTTATCATTCTAATAAACCTATTAAACATCGAATTTTAAGGCCAACAATATTTTAATGGCATTATGACAGTTCTATCCAACCCCTCTGCAAATTTTCCTTAATCTTGAATTTGTTGATTTTTCATTTTTTGGAAACTGAAATTCAATTATGTTGATCTTCAACATCAACATTGATTTAAGCTTTACGGTTCATTGGTATTGACTATATTTTTCGTCCGACCATGCATAATCTGTCCAAAAGTACTTCTCTGCCTCTTTCTGCTAATTTACTTCAGACTCTCCATTTCTCTCTTTTATTTCAAATTACCTACAAAATCCATTAAACGAGAAAAATAATTCAAGTTCTTAAAGAACTGGTGGGATATAGAGACCTAATTGTCTCTACCTTTCTATACCGAATGACAGGTAACCAAATGTGTACTTAAGTCTCCTAAACCAGGAATCCAGCATAAATACTCTCCACAAGCTTTTTATCCGTCAAGGACAAAGGTCATTGGCAGCCTAGGGACGCCAATAGTAGACCATTCTTTCAAGTACTCAGGGTCAAAGCCATTAGTCATGGCTGTTTGCTTCGGCACATGAAGCTGAAAACGCTGGTGAAACTAGTTGCTTTGGTTTTTAGTGATGTACTTGAAATCCTCATCATCAATTTCCTTGAACCTTATTGTTCATCTTCAAATATATACATATGGAAACTATAATTAAGGAGCTCAAGGTGCTGGATTTGACAGTCCTGATTAATTAAAACCCACCCTGTAGCTCTATTACATTAAAAAAGTTGGTGTGTTGTGTAGAAGCAGTTTATGACGCATGATTCTGGAGTTTTTTTGGGGAAAAAAAGCGATTGCTAGAAATAAGACATTACACATCATAGGCAACACACTGATCAATCATTTTGCCGACTTTGATTTTTAGTTTTAGTTGTGGTGTAGTATTTATGATTAATGATCGTTGCTTTTATTAATGTACATTTGCTCTTTACATTTTCATTTGCATTGTGGCACCACATTTTTCTGCAACTATGACCCATTAATTAAAGTTGGGATTCTTGACTTCAGCAATCTTTACCTTTTATTTTATTTTATGTTATCATTTTTATTTTTACGATCAATATTATCTCTGTTTCACTTTGTATTTGTAATCCAACAGGAGACATCAGAAAAGCCCACCAAACAAGCAATAACTAAGAAATCGAAGTCCAGTGGTGGTAAAAGAAAGTAGGAAGAGTTGGTTCCATCGCCACTGTTGAATTTGTGCAACGAACTTGCTGATTTTAAGTAACTTATAAGCTTTAGGTGGCTGCAAATTTAGGAAATAGTTGCATTATATGATATTAATGTTCTTGAATGATTGGTCTTGGTGCAATTTTAGGAAGTATATCTTCGAGTACTTGCGGGCATGCCTTGTGTGACTGCAATTTATTAGTTTTAAGTTGCAGGCCCTCTCAAGAATGATGATTTTGTTTCTGCTCTGCAACCTGTATATTTCTTAACTAAATGGATAGTGAAGTAAGATCTTATTGGTTTGCTTTTCCAATTCTTAGAACTCCTGGATTGATTGGAGAGGATAGTTGAGTTGCCAAATTTGAAAATTGAATTCATGAATCTCTCTATGTCGATTAGAAATTTAGTCTTGTTTTCCAATTTGCATCGTTTTGCATGGAAGGAAGCTTGTTGATACATATATCTGGATCATATTTGTTGCATTTCATCAACTTGATCATGAATGTTAATCAAGTATCCCAAGAATTCTCTGTTAGAAGTGGTTAATGCATTGCAAATCTGTGGTAGGAAATGAGGAGCTCATGAGTGTTAGTTTGGAGCATTAAAGAAAAGAGTAGCTACGAGGTGTGTAGCTATAACTTTTGATAGGGATGGGAACAAAATTTAGCAGCTACTCTTGTAATCCTAAAATAGTGGACGCCAACAAGTGGGCTACATGAACATTGATTCTCCACAATGGTATCATATATATTGTCTACGTTTAAGTTCTCATGGCTATGTTATGGACTCCTCAAAATGCATCATGCCAAAGGAATACTCCTTGATTGGCATACTCCTTAATTATAAACTCATGATCCGACAAAATGCCTCATGCCAAGGGATGCTAGAGGATGTTCTTGAATTTATATTTCAAAACTTTAAAGATAGATGTTAGAGGATGTTCTTGAATCTATATTTCAAAACTTTTAAAGATATTATATCAATTGGATTGGGATTGAACCAAAGCACAAATGGACATATGACCTAATGCTTGTTAATAGAAGATGTAAACATGAATGTACGAGTTGTCAATCAATATAGTATTTCAGTACGTAATATGTAGTCAACTCCATTTGTTAAAATAGCTTCCATTAGTCTTTGCACCTACTTTTTTTTTGTTTTTGGAAAAAGGATTTGGCTCAAAATGGCTCATTTTTAATTTCAGGGTTTCTCTAAATTTGCACCTACCTTCTATCTAGTAGGTTTCCATACCAAGGCTCAATCTAATTTCGGTAGTTCAGTAAATAAATCAAATCAAAGGACAAATAGTCTTATTTTTATTTCTCCCGAGATTAAAGAAAAGGTGAGCAAAATATTGATAAGGCCCATTCCTATTCCGAAATATAGTGAAATCACCTATCCTATTTTTTCCCCAGACCCTACGACTAAGAAGTGAATATCTAAGAAGTGAATTCTTTCCCCGAACCTTAACTATATATTATAGAAAGATGTTCACTTCTTCAAATATCCCATATACGGGAATAGGGAAAGGGGTCAGATTTCCATTTATGTTGATTTGAAATTTCATGTGAGGTGCAAATGTTGATTGCTACGGTTCACAACGATGAGTTCCAAAGCACAAGGGCATGAGAAAAAAAAGCAGGTTAGAAGGAATCAATGAAAAGTCAAGGTAGAGCCTTGGAGCCGAGTATCAACATTCAAAGGCTTGAGAAGCGGTACACAAGAGAAAAGGTGTGAAGATCACACAAAAGGAAAAAGTGGACAATATCATGCTATTAATTTATAGAATCCAATATACTTTTAATTACTATATATTGATAAAGGAAACACAGACAAGACCCCCACACCCTTACACAAAACATTGCGCAAATTGAATAATGAATAGCTGAGAAGCTAAGATCAATAAAACATAACGCTTCTCTTTGATTTCTTCATGCGCTCCTCTCATTCTTCTTCACTTCTTCCGCCCCCGCCACCACCGCCGTCCCCTTCGGTGGCTGCTCCTCCGCCTTCGTCACGCTCGGAACTTCAGCTTGCTTCTATAAAAGGCAATGCATATTAGAAAATAAATAGATATGACTTTGAATATGAATTAGGATTATACCTCAACGAGCAAGGAGTCGAGAGACGGAGGCTTGGCGGAGTCGAGAGACGGAGGCGTGGCGGAGTCGAGAGACGGAGGCTTGGCGGAGTCGAGAGATGGAGGCTTGGCTTCCTCAACGACAACATTCTCGGTGTCGTCCTTTTCATCAATTACACCATCGACCCTCTTCTCGTCTTCCACGACCTTAACTTCCTCAGTGTTCTTCACCATGTCGTCGACAGGCTCGGGTGCGGGGATGACGGCCGTATCGACCTTGGCCTTAGGCTTGGTGGCACAGGCACCCATGGTAGGAAGAACAACCGAGGAAGAAAAAGATGAGAAGAAATGAAGATCTTTCCCTCTTGTAAGGAGAGAAAGATCAAAGAAGGAAATAAATGAGAGATTAAGGTTGTAATTAGTGTGGTGGGCAAAGGATTAGAAGCTAATCAAAGCTTTAAATACTCATAACACCCATTATGTTTATGATTAAGAGCCTTTTTAGGAGATGCCACCTCCTAATAAATTGGCATCGTTGATCCATTTTTCTATTCATTTTCACCCAATAAATTCAATTATTAATTTTTTAATTAGATTTGTGAGAGACCAGTTGAGTAAATTTCGGGTCAGTTAGGTTGGTGATCCCAACAACTCAACCCATTAAGATGGGTCCGATTCTTGTCCTATTTTTAAAATCATATTTATCTATAATACATGTTATATTAATAACTAAAATTTCATAAAACTAAAATATGAAATATTCACGGTATTCTTCTTGTTGATCAACGATTATTACAATATCGAGTTACCTAGTCATATATTTAATCCTGCCCAGATATGTTTACAAGTGAGATAATTATCTCTTCAACATAGTGGCATCTCTTTTTGGAAGACGATTAAGTCCCTCCGTCTTTTGTTTGGTTCTCAAGTCCCTGAATTTATGAAGTCTCGTTTTGGTAGTAGACCAATTTGTTAACATCCCCCTGAGCCATTTTTTATTTACATAATGACACCGAACCCTTGTTGCAGCCCGGGCTACTGAATCCACTGAAGTTATAATGCATTGCTATCATATATTATAAAAGTCAAATATTCTTAATAGTCATAATAATATTAAAAATAGAAATGAGATTGGGTTTGGTTGTAACCCTAATTTTGAGTTGTTGAGTAGACGTGACTCATTAACCAACTTGAATTTTCGGTTTTCAAAAAATTTAACTTAACCCAAATCGAAAAAAATCTAGCTCAACCTAATCTTTATGTTTTAGGTTAGATAGTTTGAATTCGAACAAAATACATTGACACCATTGGGTTCCCTAGTACAATGATTTCGAAATAATTATATAAAAAAAATTGGAGATTTTTCGTAACCTTAGTACAATGATTTCGACCGGTTCCCTCCAACGCTTCCTTGAAATTTAGGATTCGACGAACAGTGACGCAACGAATGACAACTTGTGTTTGTTTTTTTTTATCGATGGACATATTTAGATATTTTGCATATTGTAGGTATATATCTTTTGAGTGAGTTTGTCATTATGTTCGATTCAGTGCTACAATGTCATTGAGATCAAGTATTTACAGTATGGGTATAAATACATTAGGTTTGAATAATAGGTATATAAATGAACCGAGATTATATTTAAATAAAAGTAATCTTAAACATATGATAGTAAAAAATTACTTAAAAGAATGGATATTTATTTCGTGTTGATTTGTATGGATAATCTTTACTTTTAGAAGCACTTTAAGATCAATAGATAACGTGACTATATAGAACGGAGATGCACGAGAATCTACATTTTAACTTAAAGTTCGTATATCCAAGAATGGAATAATTTGAATTCGTGCAATTTAAATTTTTTGTCCGATTGAATTGATCCACTTTTCGGAATGGAGGAGAGGAGGAGATTCTCAAACAAGGAAAAGGACCCAATGACTTCGAAAGAATTGAACGAGGAGCCGTATGGGATGAAAATCTCATGTACGACTCTGTCGAGTGGCACTAAGGGTGACTTATCTGTTAACTTTTCCACTGTCACTCAAAAAAAATCAAAATCTGCCTTAAGTAAAGTCGATACAAGTGTGATGAAAAAAATCTTTTTGACCAACCTGAAGTTTTGGGTTGATGACACAAGCAACTAGAATAGAGTTTACAACCCAACTCAACCTCCTCTGTTTTCGAATTTAGTTGGGTTAGGTTGTCTAGTTGTTTTTTTTTTCTTAATTATTTAAAAAAATCATATTTATGTTGCCATATATATGTTATATTAATAACTAAAATTTCAATTATTAGCAATGTATTACTAACATTTGATACAAACGTTGAAAATTCTTAACATTTTTAAAAGTAGGATAGGGTTAGGTTATGTTGTAACCCATTTTCAGATAAAAAATATGTCAGCTCACAAACTTAATTTTTTATTTTACAAAAATTTAACCCAATCCAAATCGAAAAGAAATCTAATCCAACTCAACCTTTATTGATAATTCCGATTGGATGAATTATGGATTCATATGAATACTCCTAATTAAACTCCGAGATTGAAAGAAGATATCGGACCTATTAATTGAAAAGTTAGCCTTTAATTGGGGTATAATTAGAACTCCGTGTCACCTTTACCAAGAAACAAATTGGCAGACAACACCTTTTCTAGCGAACACAAATGGTGAGCTGTGTCACACCTCACTTAGAAAATGTAGGCTATGACTCTCACACGCAAGATAGACAAGGGGCGGTCTTCAAGTGGCGCTCATTCAACTATGTGAGAGTCAAGATGGAGAAGTTTCATGATGCTACAGAAGAGGACGGTGCATCATCCAACATACCAAGAGTGTGCATTCAAGCTAAGTCGAGGCGTACAAAAGATTTGAGAGAATGAGGTGACATGAGTGTCGAAGACAAGCTTGAAGAGAGCTGGGTAGGGACCCCTATAACCTCAAAAGTAGGGGTTTTGATATGAATTTTGACATGTGACTTTGGAATTAAGTCCATCATATGAAAGTTGAACGCTCACCAAATTTGGTGTCAATCGTATACTCGACGTACTATGCACGGGACCGTATGTTCGCTCACCAAAATGACTTATACTTGAGAATGATTGAAAATGTCTCAAAATGTTATAGGGAGGCATGATGTCAACTTTCCACTACCTCCGGGCCCTATGGCCTAAACGAGCTACCATGTGGCACATGTGTGTGTCACAGTAAGGGCAAGCATTCTGAGATGAGTGACATGGGTGTCCTAGTATTGCACCTCAACCCATGTGTTAGAGGTTGGATTATGCACTCGCTATTAGATACGAAGTCCATAAATGACATGGCTTGGACACAGAAGGGTCAATACTTTGATAGAATCCGAATGAATGGATGTTCGAGAAGTTCTGATGTTATGCGATAAATGGGCCTATTCTCGATAACATGATTAAATGAGTTGCGATGGCCGATGACACCCTGTGATGTGGGATGACATCAAGACATATGAGTCATGTTAATATAGAACCAAGATAATATTGGATACGACGTTGTACATGGGATACCTTGGCCCGACTAAAGGCAAGGTTGAGTTGAATGACTTTCCTAGTGTAGAGGCAAGTTGGTTGTCTCGCAGATGATTGAATATGCATGTGTAGGTGGCATGTACGGGTGAACAAGTTTGGATTCTACACTAGTGATGTTCGGTTGGTGAAAACAAACCTCACATAAGGTCTGATGAAACCACAAAACCATGCAAAAAATGAATATGGGACTTGAGTTCTCCTTAAGGTTAGTCGTGAACGTGTCAAGATCACGACGGCACATGGTTGAAAAAATACGACTTTGACATTATGCAGGACAATCCAATTCTAGGAGCACTAGGGTCTAGACTTCTGATTGTCTCTCATGATCCTAGGTGCTCGGTCTAGTAGAAACGTACTAACCTAGGTCATTATAAAATTGTTCTAGCTTAAGCATCCAAATTTTAACTTGGTACTCTCATGCATGCTCCTCAAGGAGATAATCCAAGTATGAAATTGTAATAGCCCAAAAAGAAAAAATCATAAATAATTAATTAATTATAAATAATTATAAAAAAAAATTAGGTTAAAAAATAATAAATAAATAAACAAAAAAAAAAGAGAAACAACCCTCTCCACCTATCTCCACTAACCTCTCGTCCCTTCCCCCAATTATCTCTTCCGACCCATCCCTTAAAAAGCCACATAAAAATGAAACTGAAAAACAATTAAACCATGGTTTGATTTACTTTGGGAGGAAATGTGTGAATGTTTGATTAATCCACCACATCTAAATGGTGTGAAAGTTATCTTATTTATAATCAAATGAATTACAAGGATATGGAAATAGTAATAAATGGAAATAACAATAAATGGAAAGATACCTATGATAATAAGACAAATATTAGATATTTGCCTTATAATAAAATATCAAATATAATATATATTGTAAACTATAATTTATTACTAAATATTCTTAACAAAATGAAAATGACCTTTACCCATTTGAGATTCATTTATAAACGAGATTTAGAAGATAGATCTGATCAGTAATGTATATATTAAATCCTCATCTTCTTTTATTATATTTCTTCTTTTTAGAAAGTACAGCCAATTAGAGTTAGATCGGTTAGACACACTCAAACAAGAAAGAGACTTAGAAAAAATAAGCCAATTGATTCTCAGGTTTTACATGATTCACTTCAATCTCTCCTTTTTGCACACATTCACGAATGAAATGGAACCTCATGTCTATATGTTTGCTGCGATCATGATGAACTGGATTTTTCGTTAATGCTATAGCAAACTTGTTATCAATATTTAAACGAACTGGATTTACTTCCTTCCCATGCAATTCCTTCAGTAAACGTCCTAACCATATTCTTTGACAAGCAGCTGACGTCGCCGTAATATATTCCATTTTTTGTTTCTTTGAAGTCCATGTAATTGGATTGCCATATAAGAAAAACAATGTCTCCGTAGTGCTCTTTTGATCATCTATATCTCCAGCAAGATCACTATCACTATATCCGATTAAGTTATTTTCTACTTGCTCTGCCTTCACATAATGACATCCAATATCAATAGTTCCTTTCACGTACCTGAGTATCTGCTTCACAGTGCCATATGAACCATAGTCGGAGCTTCCATATAACGACTCATAACTCCAACGGAATATGATAAGTCAGGTCGTGTGTTCACTAAATAACGAAGACTTCCGATAATACTCTTATAAAGAGTGGAATCAACAGAGGTACAATTACTCAATTTGCTTAATTTTGTTTTCGGCTCCATAAGAACATGACACGGATTACAATCCATCATTCCAAGTTTTGCCAAAATCTTTTACCGCATAACTCGACTGAGATAACCTGATTCCATCCGTATCTTGTTTAACTTCTCTTCCCAAATAATAAGACAGCAATCCTA